ACCAAATTTCTCCATCATTGGTCAACACAATATGTTCGTCTAAAAGGACATCGAATGTATCTTTGTGTGCTGTAACCGATGGTATGGAAGTAGAAATATCAACATAGACAGGTTGGGGTTCCATAGAGTTAAATAGAAAAAGATCATCAAAGGATTTGAAATGATGTTTGTAAGTAATGAAGTTCTCAATATTAAAAATAGAGTGATAGTCAAATTGTGATAAAAGATGAATGACATGTGTATTTGGACCAGCATGCTTTATAATTTTAAAAGAACCAGCACTACGAGCTTGCAACATAACATAATCCCCAATATTAAATTCAAAGTGTCGTTTACGCAAATCACTTGAAGTTTAAATGATGCATTACTTACTTCAAATCGTTTATTGATCTCAATATGCAAGTCATGAAGATGTTGTACAAATGCTTCAGTTGACATAGACACTCTAGCATGTGAGGACATGCGAATAATGTTTAAAGGCTTCACAGACTCGTAATTAAGAATAACTGCAAAAGGACTCATACTTATAGATCGATTCACAAAATTTTTATATGTACTTCGAACTTTTGGGATGATCAAATCCCAATTCCCAAGATTGTCCTTGAAAATGGCAAGATTACACAAATCAACAGCACGTCTGGGTTGGATAAGGGTACGGCATACAACACTTGACTGGGAGGTATCGGGAACAAGGGGTACAATACCTAGATTCATAGGAAAAGTCTGATTACTACATAATGAGGTGTTCTCACTATNGTTTATAAGATGCGTTCCTAGCTTCAAGTTGTTTATTGATCTAACTATGCAAGTCATGAAGATGTTGTACAAATGCTTCAGTTGACATAGACACTCTAGCATGTGAGGACATGCGAATAATGTTTAAAGGCTTCACAGACTCGTAATTAAGAATAACTGCAAAAGGACTCATACTTATAGATCGATTCACAAAATTTTTATATGTACTTCGAACTTTTGGGATGATCAAATCCCAATTCCCAAGATTGTCCTTGAAAATGGCAAGATTACACAAATCAACAGCACGTCTGGGTTGGATAAGGGTACGGCATACAACACTTGACTGGGAGGTATCGGGAACAAGGGGTACAATACCTAGATTCATAGGAAAAGTCTGATTACTACATAATGAGGTGTTCTCACTATCATTAAAGTCATCGGGTTCTTCAAATTTAGGTACAAAGACTTGATCATCTTACCTTTCATCTATTATATTCTTTTGTTATTCAATGACTAAGGTTCGGCTAGGACATTTGGAAGAGATAGGGCCAAAGTCTTTATAGTTGAAGTACTGTAATTGAGAAGAAGTCCTTGAAATTTCAGAAATTATGCCCTTATTTTTTAACACAGAAGGAAAATTTGACGGGGAATGTCTCCTAATAGACTTAAGAGGAAGTGGCGTTGAGGATATTGGTGTATAGTTGTCACCATGCATTTTATATGGAGTACAATAATCAACTCAAAATCTCGGGCTAAAAAGTACGCCGATCAAGAGTAGTGACACCCCGAAGGAAAAGCTCACGTCTAAGATCATCTCTTGGACCTTGTCTAAACCTACTCACAGTCATGGTCTCATCCTCAATGACATGACATTTCATTCGAAATTCCTCAAATTCAGCAATATACTAAGTCACTAACCGATTCTCTTGTTTAAGGGCAGTCCATTGAGTAAAAATTTCAAAATCTAAGCAACCATCAAAGTAGAAACACCTACTTTATTGTTTCTAAATGAACGCTCCTTATGACGTGGAAGAGAATGAATACTGTGACGGTCATAACCTCGTTTTCGCTCATGAACCTTACCCTTATCCCGACGATCGTGTCGACAGTATTTTTGATCACCTTGTCGACAACGATTTTGTTTATTATAGGAAACTTCAAAATTATCAACATCAGTTGAATGAGGAATCTGCTTAAAATTGTTCAGACTAGCTGTTAGGCTCCTACTATCTTCAAGATTAGCAGCCATCTCAGTTTGGACATCTGCTAATTGAGTTTGGAATTGTTGTTGATTAGTGGCAATTTGTGCTAATTTTCTGGTGAGGGCATCAAATTGGGATGAGTCCATGGTCAGGTTATTGGAACTAGATATGATAAGATGACCACTATGTAACTACATGCAATGAACGAAATGAAGTGTATGGAGAGATTAATAAACAACTCGTTTTAAAATAAAAACAAATTTTTTTCTTATATATATATATTTGGATTATGTAAATCCAAATATGACAATCTAATACTGCTGATACATGTAAAATTGCAAAGTAGGNGTGGCAAATTGTGCTAATTGTTTGGTGAGGACATCAAATTGGGATGCGTCCATGGGCAGATTATTGGAAATAAATATGGCTAGATGACCACTACGCAACTGCATGCACTATATTAGCAACTAAATGACGTGCATTGAAGAGATCAATGAACAATAAGTGCAAGCAACTGAAAATAATAACTTGAGCATTTTTTTAATTGTAAATTTTGGGGTTAAATAAAATCCAAATACGACAAACTAATATTGATGATACATGTAAAACAACAAAGCAGAGATCAAATACGAGTCAAAATTCGATCACGTAAAATAAGTGGGTAAAATGGGAATGTAACAAATCAAGGGATTCGATCACGTGAACCTTAGGTAAAATTATGGGAATTTAACAAGTCAAGGAATTCGGTCACGTGAACTTTAGGTAAAATTAGAATAACAGCAGGACGAAAAAAGTAATCGATGCGCTTTTTAAGACGAAACAGTGATGTAAACTAAGGATAAGAAATAGTAGCTTCTCTATTATTCGTCGAAGTAATTGAGTGCCAAATAATTGATCTTCAAAGACAAAGAACAGTAACTTCCCGTTTGAAATAACTGAACCAATCAACGGGTCAAAGAGGCACCTGCAAAATGTTAAAAACTTTTTTTTTCTGCGCTTTTCTTTTTTTTTTTTTTTTNTTTTGTTTTTTTTTGTCACTATTTTTTTTTTAACTAAAAACAAATTACAAAAATAGGGGCCCAAAATAGAGGCCAATATCAAATCAAAATCACTAAAATGGAGGCCCAAAACCAAATCAATTTCACTAAAAAAGATGGAGGCCCAAATTAAAGCCCAATACCAAATCAATTACCTAAACAAACACCCAACCAGAGGCTCAAGTTTGGATCTTCAGCAATTAGGAGGGGTGGTCGGCGATGAGGAGTGGACAACTGCCGATCGGTGGCTGTGGTCTTCTTCTAGCGGCAACGTGGCCGACTTTATGAGGGACGACGGCGTTAGGAGAGGTGGAGTGGAGTTTCTTCCCTGTTTCTTCTATATATTCTTATTCTCCTCTTCTATCTTCTGTTTTTGTGGCTGGAATAGAGACGGGTGCGTGGGTCGGGGCGGTAGAGGCGAACTGTAATACTGGGGAAGTTGAGATGATTGGCTGCGTTCTAGGTCCTGTTGTCGATGGGTGGCTGAACAATTTTTTTTATTTTTGGACAGAGAAGGGCTTGGCTATTGCAATGCTTGAAAGTGATGAATAAGATGTTGGGGGTTCGTTTCAGTGGGGAATTGGTTATGGGTGTATGTAATAAACGAGGATGGAGGTGTGTTGGTTGGCTGTGGAAATTTGTAGCAATGGCGGCGTCGAAGGTTATTTTGGGAAGTTGCAGGAGGTTGGCTATAATTCTGCGGTGATTAGATTTTGGTTTGGTGTTTTGCAGTTTGGTGGTGGTTAGCAGTTTTGGGTTTTACAAGTGAGCAGTGGTTTGGGCGTAACTTGAAGGTGGAAGCCAGGTTTGGCTCTGATACCAAATTTAATGAGGACAATAACAGGGAAGAAAGTAGCAGTAGAAGAGATGGAGAAGAAATCGTGAAAAAGCAAGAAGAAGAAGAAGAAGAAGAAGGGAGAAGAAATGGGGGAGAAAACGGCTGCAAGCCAATGATTCATCATATTCATCAACTATCTAAATTACAATATGAAAATCATATAAATAGCGAAAACCTAGCTATTAGTGGGTTTGGGCCAACCCACTACTACACGCCCAATAACAATAAAAAATAGAAAACATAAATGATAAAACCTAGTAACAATAAAATTAAGTCTCGACTGATAAAGTTCAATAACAATAAAACTAAGTCTCGATGATGTCCGCATCAACTCTATATTCTTAATCTATAATGATTGCATTTAATAAATTACAACTTTCAATACTTTACTTCTTATATTATTCAAAACACATTTAAATTGATTGACTATTGACATATAAAAAATTATGTTAAATAAAATGTAAGCATAAATCAATAAATATTTCTTGAAAAAGTAAAATGAATAACCAAAATAGATAGTAGTATTGTTGAACATCAATCAAGATGTCTGCATATCATAAATCATATTAAATGATCATAATTTCTTGTATTTAATTGAACATGTTATTTAATGTCATTAGTAATGTAATCTAAATTGATGTTAAATAGAATTACTCAAAAAAAATTCTGACTTTCTAAATTTATAAATACTCCGTAATGTATAAAATGTTCTTTATAAACAGTGAGCTCCTTATAAATGTTCCATTTAACCTAATCTGTCGTCAAAGTCTGTGTGGATATAGTCAAATGCATCCCATCCAGCCATCCTGCCGTAGGAAAAAAAGCCAGGAGCCCTCACTCGAAGTATATGGGATCCGATCAACTTCCTGATTTGTTGTGTAATTCTCAAATCATGTGTTGTTTATATGTTCCTGGATGCGAATGGATTGCAACTCATGTTCTGATGAGTGGTGAATTAAATTCCAAACATGGGTCCACATCTCAAGTAAATTTTCAACCTTACCCAGATGACAAAACATCTTTTTCTCGTTTTATATGGTTGTAATAATTTCTTAGAACAATTTTTTACAATTCAATTATTACGTGCACTATTATTAAAAGAACATGAAATGCCTATCTTCTTCCTCAAATCCCATATAAAATGTTTTATAATTGTGGCACTGGGAATCATAATCCATTTCTGAAAGTATGCCTTACCTGTCAAGTTTGAAAATATCAAGATCCTCTGCTGAAATTGCTACAATTCAATACTGTTTTCACCCTTTTGGGCAGAGAAAAATAACAAATCTCACCATTGTTGCTTCCTCTGGCCCTTCTAATTCTGCTTCTTCTTCAACTAGTGATTATGTAAATTATTCTTCAGCCGTTGTAGCACAGAATTTGACTGAAAAGGCTTTGAAGAATGGGAAACAACTTCATGAAACTCACTCAGTGGCTCAAAATGAAAAGAAGATTACATCTTGGGGAGATGCTGAGGCTGAGGCCAGTCGAAGTCCAGCATGTCGTGTTTCAAATATGGTAGAGAAATCATGTGGTGGAAACAGAAAATGGCCTTTCTGGAGGAAACTGATGTTTGGATCCAAGAAATTCAGGAGTATAATCTTGCTTAACGCTGTCGCTTTTGTTTCCGGTATGTTACTAGATTCGAAAATCAGAAACTTGTGTTACTAGATAGCTCGTCTGAGTTTGTTGGGCTCTAATATTATATTGAATGAATCTTGATTTCCATCTTAAAAGTTAAAATATATGTGGAATTTTACCCTTTAATACTTGTGTGTGATGGATTGCTTGTGCATATTGTCGTTGCCAAGATCCTCCTAGACCTCTTGACCGATGCCTAGCGCCAAGACCACCATCCATTCTGCGAAAGATTACACATCAAACTGCTCTAGCACTGGGAGAAAGGAAAAAAAAAAAAAAGTGCAGTGGCTGAAAACTACTAAAACCAACCATGTAGTTTTAAATATACGGTGACTTGTAGTGTTCTCGGCCACAGCACCTCTTTTTTCTAGTGGTCGAGCAGTTTGACGTATACTCCTTTACATATTGGATAGTAATCTTAGAAGCTGTTGACCGAGATTACTGGCGGAGGATTCTGTTGTAGACACATAAAATAAATAATCTAGGTGCCACGAGGTTTTCGGAAACCTAATCTCTTTTTTATATACTGTAGCAAGTGATATTATAGTCATAAAAGAGGTTGAAGCTTTCACGGATCCAGCTTACTTCTGTGCTGTTCGATTTGCTGTGTCAGCCATCCCATTCTTACCGTTCATCTTTAAGGCAAGGAATGATGTTCAAATCCGCAATTCAGGATTCGAATTGGGGCTATGGGTCAGTTTAGGCTATATATGTGAGGCACTTGGACTGCTTACTTCGGATGCAGGGCATGCTTCATTTATTTCTCTGTTTACAGTAAGGCCTCAAGTTATTACTAAAAGAATTCCTGGATGAGCTTTTATTGATCAAAATTTTCTGTGAAAATATTCAATTGTAGAGTAAGTTTGTTGCTGAAATGGACAGGTTATTGTAATTCCACTGCTTGAAAGCATGTTAGGAGCAATAGTACCTGCTCGAACTTGGTTTGGAATCTTCATGTCTGTGGTTGGGATTGCAATGTTAGAATGTAGTGGATCTCCTCCAAACGTAAGAGTTACCATTTTCTTTAGAATCTTTCGATGCTAATTATGCGATTAATTACTGTCCCTAATAGAATCATTTCACCACTTGATGTGTGTTTTATTCAGATTGGTGACCTTTTCAACTTTTTAAGTGCCATATTCTTTGGCGTTCACACACTGCGAACGGAACATATATCAAGGACTACGAGAAAAGAGAACTTGTTTGGTCTTCTGGGATACGAGGTTTATTTTTCTTACATCCAAGATACATCTGCTTAAACTTGCTCGATCTGCAGTTTGAATATCCACTTCATGTGTGCTTTGTTATAGATTGGTGTTGTTGCAGTTGTGTCCACTATATGGTGGCTAATTGGTGATTGCATTCAAGATAGTGATGGTGTATCATGGACATGGGCTATGTTTTGGGATGGGATAGTTGCATTTCCATGGATACCAGCACTATATACCGGTGTGTTCTCAACAGGGTTGTGCTTGTGGGGAGAGGTATACATCTTTTAATCATCAATAGTTTGGAATGGGATAACAGACACGATTTTAAATTCTTTTTCCTCCTTAGTCCTACTCCTTATTATGAAATGAATCACCAGGCCCGAGAATTTGAACAAGTGAACCTGGAATTTACATTATTCGTCATCTTGTGCAGATTTCTGCATTGCGTGATGTCTCAGCAACAGAAACGGCCGTGGTCTATGGGTTGGAGCCACTCTGGGGTGCCAGTTTTGCATGGTTTCTCCTCGGTGAAAGGAGGGGTGCTGCTGGATGGATGGGGGCTGCTCTCATCCTAGGTAAATTATATTGAGATATCCTGATTTTTTGCTATCTATCTAGTTGCTGCAGTAATTTCTAACAAATATGATCTTGCATTCCTGATTCCATTTTCCTCTTTTTATTGCGTATCATCCATTCAGGAGGAAGTTTAACAGTGCAGATTTTTGGAGCTTCTGCTGGTAAATCAAGAGAGGCTACCAAGAGAGAAAACAGCAATCCATTGACGGTATCAGATCACAAAAAGCTAACAAGCTCGCTCTCGACTTCTCCAGTGATAGTCAGATCGCAGGATAGTGTGATCAATAGATTGAAGAAGTAACAAGCCTTTTTAACTTTGTACAATATATAGCTAAGTAATATGAAGCCTATATAACCGATCAAATTAAAAAAAAAATGAAGCCTATATAATTTATACATATACATATATCTTTTGAGCTTCATTGTCACCCAAAAAAACCGATAGAAATTTTGGAGTTCTAGTACATAGTATATAACACTGTATGGATAGAAATTTTCCATTGTAATGCCCTGTTATGTAATTCAAAATAAAGGGTTTTTTCTTATGTAACTACAGTGGAAAAGTTTGATGTCAGTGATTAAAGAGAAACAAAGTTGGATCAGCAACTTGGGACTTTTGAGCTTTTATTGGTCATACTCAACATCTTATATTTCTTTACTTATTCTACTCAAGAATATGAACTAACAACATGTTTGATATGTTGAACTCTACATTACTGTGTACATGTATTAAGGGGTTGACAATTTCTCCCGTCAATTGTAAGTGCACGATTAGAACTTGCCACTGGGGTGGCCGTGGAAATCGATGGAAGAAATATTCTCTCTTTTTCATAAAAGACTTCATGGGATTTTAATGGATACTCCAGAACATTTACCTGAATGAGAGTGGAAGACAGTCTATGGCAATATGCATAAAAACTGCACAAGAAAAGCTGGATGATATACAATGCTTGTAGGCTAAATTGTGCTTATCGAACTCTTGTCACAAATCTATTGTTCTATTAAAGACAAGTTTAAATGATATACCTGTGATCTTCTCTAACATCTTATACTTTTAGATCATATGGTTCAACAATGGTATGATGACAAAGGTTATGGATTCAAGTGCTAGAAATAGTTTCCCATATGGTAGTAATGTCATAAATTAAACATGGAACAATAGAAACATAAGACAAACGTTATTATCCTGAGTTCATTCAAAAGTACATAAAACTAATATGATATATTGAACTGGCGTGATTTTACTTTTTCTTGGCAATAAACAAACCCCACGCCTGCTCGCCCGAGGTGCTGCGGACTAGCTTGGCCTTCCAACCACCAACGATATCATTATAGTCATCCTGTGAACATAAACACCAAATATTGAGTGAGTTAAGCTAACTAGCAAGTGCATAATCGACGAAGAACAAAAGTACGCACTTCAGAGAAGTCCTGGATGAATGCTTCCTTATTCTTCTCTGTGATACTCAATTCCTTCTCAAGAACTTTTATGAACTGGAAAACAAGGAACCTCTGGTTTAAGTAACACACACCATAGAAAGAGATGAAAATTAATTCGAAGAAATATTTAGGTTGATAAGCACCTGCTCAGTACGATCCTCAGCAACAACATCGTGAAAGCCAGCATCTCGTAGCATCTGTCAACATACTAAGCAGGAAAATTACGTTAGTGAAACAAAAATATGGTCCAATCAAGAACATGCATGTCCACTTATTTTATACTCAATTGCACCTGGCCATAAGTGTTGACATCATGCAGATCGTATCCCCTTTGCTTAATATACTCTGCAAATTCTGCCGATGGAGTTCCAGCACTCCTGCAATAGTCACTTATAAGGACTTTGCCTCCTGGTTTCAGCCACTTGTAGAACGATTTAAATAGGGAAGGTTTGTCCTGCAAAATACTGTCAGTTTGACACTTGCCAGATATACGAGAGGAGATCAAGATAAGATCGCATTTCCAACTACGCATTTGTCTAAATAAAACTGTTTTGGAAGCGTACAAGTAGTCAAAACCATATGAGAAAATATGAAATATCAATAAAGAAAAAAAACAGTTACCAGGTTTGACCTAGAATTTTACAAGTTAAAACCAACTAGCTGGTTTGTGAGAATTTTCAAGTTAATTGCAGAAAGAATTTGAAGTACCTGAATGTGAAGAATTGTGTCGCGACTGTAGATCACATCAAATGTGCCTTCAGGATATTCTTTCTTGGTACAGTCAGCAACCTCAAATTCAACAGCACACTTGAGACCAATAGCACGTTCCAGGGCAAAGGAAATCATGTTGATGGAGAGGTCAATGCCAACAACATGAACATCGTACTTGTCAGCCATGTAGAAGTCACCTCCTCCAATGCCACATCCCACATCTAGAACTTTCTGTCCAGACTGAAGGTCCAGTTTATCGACAAACTCTCTTGTTGTATCTGCTCAAGAACAGAAGCTCAATCAACTGACAAACATATAAGAAAACTAATAAGTAAATAATGTAATCTCTGATATCAAAGGACAATATCTATCGATTCGGAACTACTTGGCTGGAAAATGCTCCACAATCAATAATTTTGACAAGTACGCTAGGAGAATACACCCAAATGTAAAATATGTTTCTCTAAATCGAGGAAAAAAAAAAATGAACTACGACTGTTTATGGCATGTGGCATGTGTGAGAACTGACTGGAATAGAAACTGAATATTGACATTGCCAAAAATATAATCCTCAAACAAGCAGGTGGCAGTGCTCAACATCTTAGCACATAATTGACGTCAACCTATCTATGGAATAATGGATAAGCGTAGGACCATTGTTGTATTTAGTATATTATGAGGCTTTACCATCAGACCATAATCCTCTACCAATATATACTGGCAATATAGCAGGTCTTGATTCCACACAATCTCATAAATAAAAAAAAGAAATATGCATGCATCATTGTGACATACCAATCCCTCCAGTGCTCACAAATCCATGTCCAAAGACACGCTCATAGCGCAGTATGCCACTACATTTATACTGGACAGTATCCAAGAACCTCTGGAATCCCCTGTCATCATCTGAGCTAACCTTTTGCCATATCCAGCAAATCTGCACCACAAAAGTAGCAATAATATAAGTTCCATTTTCCTTTATTTCAAAGGCTTTATTATGATTGAGATTTAAGGTTAGTACCAAATTTACTAGACAGGAAAAATGAACCTAAAGTATGACCAAAACACATTACCTGATTTTGATTCTTTTTGTTTTTAACATAAGCTCCAATGCACTTGCAACCAATTAGTGCAAGTTCAAATGAATTTCCAGTCCCACCATGCATATGGCATTCTTTGAAGACCTAAAAGTTCAACATATTGGGGGAAACATATCAAATTACATGAATAAAAACCAAAAACAATCTCAGAAGCTTTACAACCCTAGAACATTTTGATTGTTGCACATAGTTAGAGTGGCAAAAACAATACCTAGGTTTACTAAGAAGTTTAGACTTGGGTTCATTTCGGTCCATAATTCTTAGTCAACATTTACAACACTTGTAGTCAGTATGACTAGACGAGGGTAATTACTGGTGAGATATTATTTAAGCCGTGACATACATAAAAAGATAACAATCAAGCTAGTTATTGTGGATATCGTCACCATGAGGTGTCATATTTCTACTTCTTCCTTATTCCTATTAGTCAATAAATATTCATTTATTCACCGTAATTTTTTTCTAAAACCTGGAAACAGAAGCATGATAATTGTCTCTGATTATGACAGCGGTGCATCTTATCAGAGTTTCTATTCCACCGTTTATGTGATTTCTATTGAAGGATATACTCGGGATGGGTACAGGGTGGATGAATTCCAGCCTACACAAACCAAGTGATCTATTGAAGGAACTAGAGACTAATTGAGGTCTGCCAATGGTGCTCTACCATTTGGGCATGTAAGACGTCAACAATTTAGAGAAGCAGTTCATTAGATTGTTGCAGCTCCATATCATGTATGAAAAAGATGTATGTATACAATTGAAACCTTTGTATAGAATCTTGGTTCTCTGTAATGAGTAGGGTTATTCTTTCTCTTGTGGTCTCCAGACTGATGGAAACACGATTCTCTAAAAAATATGTAGCCACCAACTTTTAACCATTTGACCATTCTTGCAGCAACATTCTCAACCTACAAAATAATGGAGCAATATAGTCATCCTGTGGCAATATGTAGCGAAATAAAAAAAAAATCAAACAAGGAAAATTTGTTGCACGTCATGGTACCACTTAAGCATGCAACTTGAAAAACCAGTTTCTCAAAAAAAAAAATACAAAAGAAAGGTTAAGAAAATTCACCTCTTTGTCTGAGAGATACATCAGCAGCCAGTTAGAAAATATCAAGTCCATCGACTCTTCTGAAAAATTCAAGTCTGGGGATGTCACATCAGCACACATGAACTTGACATTTTTATAATGTCCATTGATATGTTCATTCTGTGAATAAGAGAATTAAAGACTCAAACTTCATGCAACTACCCGAAAAATTTCGAAAGCAAAGTAATAGCAATTAGCAAATGAAATTTATCGGGGCAAGGCCACAGACCTTCTTTATGACACTGTCAATGAAGTCCAGAGCTACAAGTTGGCCGGCCCTCTGAGCTAATTCACCAGTGAAACGGCCAATACCAGCTCCCAGTTCTAGAACTGACTTACCGTCATATGGTGGGAGCAGAGAAAGCACCTGCATAGCAAAAAATCATGACAAGTCAACTGACTGACACTCAAAAGTTTTCCATGTATGTCTGTCAAAAAAAATGAGAACCGGATTTTAAAAAAATAAAAATAACTCCTTGAAATTTGAGATTATAGAGACTAATTAGTACAGTGAAAAGTATATATAAAATTGAACAAGAGTTAAGAGGATATGCAGAAATAATAATGCAGCGTAAACCACGCCGATTCAGCAATAATAAAGTATTTTACAAAATACAGCATTTTTGCTATGTTTCTCACATGCCAATCTGAAGCGCTATTGGTCAGCACAATGGTGTTCATCTAAAAACCATGATGTTAAGAATTTAAATAGGAATATGCAGAAAGTATTGCAAAAATTTGTTTAAGGTATTCATGTTCTCAGTTTGACAGGGGCTGTAAGGAGTTCACAAGCAAGATTTTGGAGTTTTCAGAATTGCAATTTGCAAGCATTTGAACCTAAAACTTCTTACCTCCGTCTATTTTCACACACAGGCTAAGAAAATTTAATTAATATTATTTAAAATATAAATTTTTCCTAATATAATCACACATTAAATAATAATTTAAATAGGATTAGGTTATATTTATAGATAACAAAGTACATATAATAGTGGCATATTCAGGGGCGGACGCAGAACTTTAACGTTGGGGGGCACCATCGAACTTGCAAAAAAATTGGTAAAAATTTTACAATTGAAAATTTACGTCCAAAAAAATCATAATCCATGTAATTTTACATCCAAAAATGTATATGGGATATGACTTTTCGGATGTAAAGTTTCGAAATTTTTTGAAAACTTCCTAATAAAATGATGAAAATTATATTGAGAAATTTGTATCGTAAAAATAATAAATGTTAATGAAATAATAATTTTTTTTAAAAAAAAATGCAATTTAGACGTCTTTTTTTAAGACTCACGTTTAACGTATTGCATATGAAATCATCATTATCTTGTGAAAGAAACACAAACATGTTTGGTCCACATTATTTTTTTCATTCTCATTCTTCTACTCATTTTCAACCACACATTCTTCAATAAAATAATATTTTCCATTACATCAATAAATTTGCCTTCTTTTTCAACCACATATTCCTCATCACATCAACAATGAAAATGCATTATTACCTTCAAAATGTGCACCAAACGGGTGCAAAACATAAAAATCCAATCTACATGCATATGACCATAAAAAAAAATTTTAAAAATTATTTTTGACATTGACAACAAACTTGTCTTTTTTCCCAATAAATAGGACTGGCTATGAGAAAAATCCAAAGCAAGATCTTTAATAGGATCCATTCTTGTCGAGCCTTCCGTAAAACACAAAAAGGTTCCATTCTTACTTCGGCAAAGAAGAAACAGAGACAAGTGTATGTGATGCAAAACTTAAGGACTCAATACAAGCTTTAAACAAAATTCGTAACCCGGGAAAACTGAGTTTTTTGAAGCAATCAAATCAAAACCCAAGAAAAATTCAAATAAAATGGAAGCATTAATAGATTCAATGCAGAAAAACCAGATCTAAAACAGAAAATAAGGCAAAATCAAAGCAGCATTTAAAACGCTTATCAATTACATTCAGGAAACAACAAAAGGAAGTTGAATTTCATTAGAGACGTACCTCAGGCCTTTCTTCGTTGTCCAGGTCGGATGCTTTGGAATCAAGCATCATAGCCTCCACAGTCAGATCAGCAGAATGCTCGATCCAGTAACTCTTCTGCACTTCACGCTCTTGTTCTACAAATTCAAAAGCCAAAAAAAATGTCATTTTTTTTTTCAATTCAATACAAACAAAAAAGTGAAAAACACAATAAATTAATGAAACCTGTAATGGCAGCCATGGCGAAATATGATTATTGGTAAACTGGCTGATAAATTCTTATTGTTTTAATGGGTTGTCTTGGATCTGAGAAAAAAAAAATTTAGGGTTCTCCGGTCAATTTAACGAGCCTCAATGGCAATGCGGGATCTAGAAAAAGTCCTTGATCTTCGATTAGTGGACTTCCCTCTTTGCTGCATTAGCTTATGGAAGTGAAATTGCTGAACCAGAAAATTGAGAATTTATAGGAGAGAAATGGCACTGAAAACCAGACAACACTGAGCAGAGAGAAAGAGATGGGTTTGTTGCTTTGTGGTGCTGTGTGTGAAGTGGAGAAGCGTACTATAGATGGGGAAATGGAGAAACGGGTGGCGCGGAAGTAGGGGAGGATAAATCTGATGGCACCTATGGGCCACCGCCACGTGAAAGAGCTTAAGATTGTGACAATTATAAGAGCACCGACACTCTCTATTTTTAAAGAGTATATTCTATTATTTGTAGAGCATTTATAAATTTAGGAAGTTAAAATTTTGAAGTATTCCAACGAACTCTTTATATTTAACACTTAATTTTACTGTTCTAAAAAAATATTTATTATTTTTCTTTATCTTTTATTTTAACTAACTTTTCTTCAGACTATTTTATTGTTTTCCTACTTGAAAATTGAAACACTTTGAATACATTTAATTATAGAGAGTGAGTTTGACTCTAAATTAAAATGTTAATTTAAATAGTCTCTTGTGGCATGATTTTAAATGTTACTCCTTAAAATAGAGAAAATCTTATGTTTAAAGAGTTTATTGGAGATACTCTAAAGGGAAGAATTAAAAAGAGTAATTAGTACGTAACGTTCTCATCTTTCATTGTTATTGTGGAAATCGTTCATACCTTTCATTTTTTTGGTATTTTCACCCTTACTTCCACATTTCATTACGCAAAATGTCCTTTTCATCTATTTTCTCAATTAAGCTCATGTTTGGTACCCATTAAAATTTTCATTATCATTCTTCTACTCATTTTCAATCACACATTTTTCATTAAAATAATATTTTTCATCACATCAATAACTTTTCATTCTTTTTCAACCACATATTCTCCATCAATCTACTATTTCAAAATACATTCTTCCAAAATAATGTGGGCCAAACACACCCTAAGTNGCTCAAACACACAATAAAAATTGTAAAACGATGAATATACAATTTTCTTTAAATAAAACAAAAAGAAAAAGAAAAAACTAATTACAATCATACTCCTAATTTTTTTTTTAAAGTACAAATGAGTCTAAAAAATAAATTATTAAAAGGGTAATTAGAACATAATGTCTCTATCTTTCACCATTATTGCGAAAAACGTCCATACATTTCATTTTTTTTTTCATATCACCCTTAATTATACATTTAATTGTGCAAACCATTATTTCCATACATTTTCATCCAATTTCTCAATAAAAAAATTGTGAAATAATGAATTACCCTCCTATTTAAATAAAAGATATTTTTTAAATTTCTAATTCTTTAATAACATATTTGGGATTCGTTTATACTTTTATTTTATTTTTAAAATAAATTTATTGAGGACCCGTTTGCACTTTTTTTTAAAAAAAAATTGAGATTATGGTTGCAATTAATTTTTTAGTTTTTTATTTAAATATGAGGTATATTCGTCATTTCACAATTTTTTTAATTGAGAAATGCCAAAAAAATAAAATATATGAACTTTTTTATAATAATAGTTAAAGATAGGGACGTTATATGTTAATTACCCATTTAATAATTTATTTAGGACTCATTTGCTCTTTTTAAAAAATTTGGGACTATGATTACAATTAGTTTTTTTTTTCCTTTTTCATTTTGTTTTATTTAAAGAGAATGGTATATTCTTTATTTCACAATTTTTAATTGAAAAAATGAAAGAAAATGACATTTTGCGCAATGAAATGTGAAAATAAGGGTAAAAATGCAAAAAAAAAAAAAAAA